TTTATAAATAATATTTTTAAATATCATATATACTAACTATTTAAAAAAATTATAAATTAATAAAATTATAAATACTTAAATTAGTGATCTTAATAATTTTGACGATGATAATAACCTAGCCCCAAAAAAAAGTAGGTAATTCACACTGCCAGCTACCATTAAGAGATTTATGATGATTTTCCTTTTCTTTTGCTCGCCGCATGATAATCAATTAAGTGAGGATCAAAAGTAAAATTAATAAAATTATAAATAAATTAGTAGCTTTAATAATTTAGATAATGATAATAATTTAGCTAAAAAAATATATAATTCACGCTGCTAGCTGCCGGCCATTAAAAAATTTATGATAAATTTCCTACTCTCTTTGTCCCCGCATGATAACCGATATTAAGGGAGGAGCAAACCTTAACCAACAACAATTGCTTCATATGTTTTTCTTATAATTGATTAGGTGTATCGTGGACTGGCAAATTGAAATCATTTAGTCTCTATTGGCTATTGGGGATGTGACAAGAGTAACAAAAATCTCACTGATCGTAGAATATACGCAGGGCCGAAGGGAGGGGGTGCAAGGGGTGTGCTTCCCTCAACTTTTGTAAAATTTTTTAAATGCACTCAAAATTCTTGAAAAAAATTAAAAAACCGCTAAATTTTTATGTTTTATTTTCTGATTTTCTCTGACAATATTTAATAGAATGACAATTTGTTTTCTCCCTTTGATAATTATTTTGAATAAAACTTTTTTTAGTTATAATGACCTAAAAACGATTTTTGTTATAAAGTATAAAAAATTACTAATAATCTATTTAGTTTGAGAGAAATAGAGAATAGGAAAAAAAAATCCAATCAAATTAAGATATTGGATTAAAATTTTAATTTAATTGAATGATAAATTTTTCTCTATCCCTTTCTCTTCTATCAATTTCCTTCAAACCAAATAAATTATAACTACTTTCATGTAAAATAGTTTTTATTTTTGAAAATTCTTTGTTTATTTAAGGTGCTTATCATGGTATCGCTTGATTTTTAGAGATTTAAGTTTTAGGCCATATTGTCTCCCAACTAAGCCTACACCATAAGATTAATTAAGATTGGATATACTAATTTGTAAATTCTTAGAACATCTTCATTTATTACTGTCTTGAATATATTAATTAATACTTTACAATAGTAATTCTATTTACTAGAATTGAAAGTGAAATAATGCAAGAGTATAAATTTTAAACTGCCTATAT